CAAATACAGTAGCGCTTTCAGATTTCGATTCGTGGGCTGCTTTTGGCCTAGTTTTTAAGATTGAGGATTTGCTATGGCTAGATTCTAAATCCTCGAGAGCATATATGTAAACTTTGTATTATCTACCGGTCAGGTTTGTTCTTGACTCAGAGAAATGTCTTTCAAAGTATCTTTGAGCGTTTATCCCTATCCACTAGAAATTCACATTTCTTCGAAAGCTCTGTCGCAATTGTTGCCAGATATAAGTCCGATGAAATGGGCACCCAAGAAAACTGTAAAACTGTATTATCCAGGTTTTGCCTTAGTTCCCTACTGAAGCACGTTCGACTGATACACTTTTACCTTGTGAACCAGGGAACAAGAGAACCAAATCGCAGTTTTGGTACCAAAGTTAATTCGTACCTTACGAGCAATCAACCCAAACATAACGTTTTTCAAATTTCGTTTCAGGAGCGAAAATATCGAATCAAAAACTGGCAAACCAAAGATGTACGTGCACTAAGTAATTAACAGACCACTTAATATTTTGAGCAAAACAAATTTATCCAAAACAGTGAGAGTGGTGACAGTCAATATAAGTTTCTAACAAGTCGAATACTTTCAGTTCCTACTGTAACACAAACCCTAAATCTTTTGTCCGAATATCACGATTTTTGTTATGTTGAGTGTTCGAAGATGAGCCAGGGAAGTTTTTCGTCCCATCTCGACCTTATTCTGACGAACAACATAAACCACCGCGCATGTATACCTTAGAAAGTTCGGGCTACAATCTCTGTCATTAACGTTTGACAAGCAAACATTTAGGTATCTCTCCTCAGCAGTCGCAGCCTGTGGAAGAGCTGTTTGTTTCTCAGATTCCTGGGAATCTATTTGAACCAGGCATATGGTTGACTGCACTAACTTGATTCGGGACCAAACATCCAGTGATACCAACAAAGCTGTTCAGATTGTCTGGACTTGTGTGACCTGTTTCGATATCTTGATCTATTCTGTTGTGGTAATCTGCTTCAACTTTTGTGGATGGCAGTTCCTGCGAGACTTTTGACACTTGTGATGGGTTCTACTGTGACGAGACCTGCTGATGTTTCATTAATTTGCATGTTGTGTAATATATGCGGCCCAACTGTAGGGATGTCACTTCATAATCCTATTCTCAATGCGTGTTAAATGAGGCCTTGTATATCCAGTGTTAATTGTAGCATGGAGGAGTTTATATCCATTTTTAAGACCGCTTCACCCACAATATTATCGCAGACCAAGACTTACTGATAACTTCAGAACTTGGATGATGACCTATGACCCGTTTCCGCTCGTCAGTTTCTTAAAATTCTCTAACTGTTTGATAGACGGACGATTTATTATTCCACATCCTATGATTGTGTATGGTTTAAATTTGAGAGGGCCTCAAATGGAATCACTGATTTCTTTAGGAGCTGAAATTGTGAGCAAAGTGTACGAATATTGGTGCCGAATTCTATGATAACTAAAAATATTTGAATTGTTGTACTCAGTAAAAATTCCCGAAATAATGAAATTCACAGCATCTAGAACTACGTGAGTACAAAAGAATCATTATTTCGTAAAAATAACGCATGTGCCACAGCTTAAAGTAGAATCTAAATTTCTTTAATCGACTGTACTTCTTCTTAGGTTCATTGTGTGTCTGTTTGACTGCGTATTGGATGTAGACACTGAGTTCAGGATGTATTAATTAGTGTTGAACTTAACAACTGAAATTGAAAAAGACTAATCTGGTTCCTGGAATTGTATCTAACCAACATGTGTACTTAAATCACCGTTATCTAGAAACGGAACCATAGATTTTCCAACACTATTCTCACCCAAGAAATAATGTTGGATCTTCATATCCTCAAGTTACAAATAATGTGGCTTTATTTGAAACATATTTCTCACATTGACAAGAGGATTCACTTGAGGATAAATAGAATTTGATATGAAATCATCCGAACGGTAATCACGTTTGAAATCACTTAGAACTCATGTTTCACACTGACCAAGTATCTCATCAGAAACAAATGTATTATGAGGACAAATTGCACTTTATATGACATCGGGATTTAATACTTCTGGAATATTTTCCTCAAATTTATTGGGAATTTCTTTTGAGAACAATGGATCATGAGAAAAATCAGCATCTATTCAAAATCGCATGATCATGATCATGACTTGACCCATTCAACGTATTTTTCTCATTTTTGTAAGAATTTTCATCAAAGATATGAGAATCATTAAGACATCTCATATCTGGTGAAATATCATGAGAAATGTGATAAGAATTCGATTCATTAGAAACTTTTGTCCCACAATGATTTTGACTTTCATTTCATGAACTTGTATTAATTGCGCTGCTCCAGTTATTTTCTGAATACGAGGTCCTCCAGCTTTCCCGTCAAATATCACGCGATGTATGAGTTTATTTTGGCTGGAGTTTAGTTTCAGAGTTATGCTAGGTTAACGAAGCTTCGTTTGATTACGAACTGAGGTGTGACTCTAGCTACTTGTGTCAACAATAAAGTTATGAAATGAACCAAGGAGGGTATATAATTGCTTTTGACTATGGACATTACCCTCCGAAATCGTGGATAAAGATAAACGATCACTAGAAACGCCCAACTTAATAAAATACGAACTACGGAGTTTATAATCACTTGTGGCAAAGTGAACAGTAGCTCTGCAAACAGATTTTATGTGTCCCATATTTCCAAACTTAAAGCATTTGGCATGACGAAAGACACATGAATTACGTAGATGAAACTTATCATTAGTTAAGCATTTACCAAATCCGTGCTCACCTCAGTAACCTGCTTTGCAACTTCTCGATGAATTGATATCTGGATGACTTTTAGTATGCATTGGATTGGGACGATCAAGTAATGTAGAATTCTTGATGTTTCACTTTTTGAAATTTTGCTTCTTCATGGAACTGAAATTAGTACATTTTACATAATTTACTAGTAGTTCCTTGAAAGTTGCGTAGGGAAATGAAATAGACTTATCTAAAAGTGTCCGTGTATAGTAAACTGAAGGCATCCTTTCTGATGAATGTAAGGACGTAAGCCACAGTTTTGTCATCCCTTACATCTTTCCTGGTGATACTCCAGATTTCAAACCTTTCCATGTAATCTTTGAAAGCTTCAGAATTCGAACGTATGTCCAGTTGTTCAAACACAGGCTCCATCGTAAAGTCAGTATGATGATTAGGAGAATTCAAACTAAAGTACCAACCAGGAATTCTAGAAATAGTGCAATTCAAGTTAAATGGAACTATGTGAGCACAAATGAATGAATTTGGGAATCGTAATCAGCGGGCAACCAAGTACAAAAGAATCATTAGTTTGTACAAATACCTCAAATTCCCATGGATTTATCGTCGCACCTAGAGATGCAGTGCTCCAGTTGACCTCAAGATCATCTGTTAATGGGCATATAAAAATATTTCTTCTAAAACAAGGAAGCATCTATTGTTAGACTAATATTTACCCTCTCCTCAGGTACGGAATTCAGAAGACAGTGTGATATTCAGTCAAACTAATTAGGTACACACTCTTCAGCAGTCAGTAGACGAATATATGAGTGGTATTACTCACATAAAATTTTGTCTCTGCCTGCCTGCAGTAATAAAAGAAATTATTGAGGAGTCTATCACGTCAGGTACAAGGATCTGCTGTGATCTAATAACTTGTTTGGATCCATCCAACTTAGTGCTTATTTTTATAACATAATGTCGGTAGGATTCTGAACATCTTGGCGGTGATTCATGGAAGTGGGCATCAGTCTTCAGAACATGACTCACTGTTACCTATGGATCATTGTGGGACAAAACTGAGGAAACCGACTATTATCCAATGCAATGGCTATTTTTCTTTATATCTCTAATCTCTACAATGATACACATAAACTAGGTCTTAGACCAGATCCCAGGACGTTCAGATTGACCAGAAGTGCACACACAGATGCATCCCCAAGTGCTTCTCTCCAGATTTACATACCACCAGTATATGGCAACACTGGGAATTTGATGACATATATATGTATTCAGTACTCCACTAAATACTGATTTCTGTGAAGAACACTTGGAGTTTATCCTTTCTAATCAAAAGATCCCGACCCAGTAAAATCAGAAACCAGGAATGTAGGGGTTCGAATATACGTTTGGAAGGTATTCGTAGTGTCAAAAAGTGTTTGACTTAGTCTGACTAGCTGTTGCGAAGGATGTGTTTCAGGGTGTACGCAATGGTGATCTGATGCACGTGCGCGATCTAACGCTTTCAGCTAGGGTGTGTCCAGCAAAACTACTGAGGTCAGAAACGTTGTCGGGGACCGACAGGAATATTTGTTTTGGGATCTATATACCGCTGCAAAGCTTTCAAGTCCAGCCTAAATGGAAAATAAGTGCCTCTAGGTTGGAGCTTTGGTATATTACAGAAAAACCGAATTAGAAAATTTAGAAGTTCAGTTTTAGGTACTGTGTTGGATCCATGACAAAATATGTTTCCTTTTAGGAGTCTTTCAGTAGACCTGATTGGACTTATTTGGAAATCATGCCCGATGTTCAACGAGTTGTTGGTTTTCATGGACGTTTTAGTGGTCTTCTAAATTATTCTCAAAAATATCTTGACTTCCATGGTGGGATTGACAGGTCTACAGATTGATAATTCAAATTAGCGACTGGTAACCAGAATGAAAATAATATACAGTAACAAGAATTGGGAAAGTTTAGACCCAAAATCAGTTTTAGAGTTTAGAATTAAATAGCAATCCTAAAATAAAACTAGTCGTAATGAAACATATTTGGTGTATAATAGTTGAAATAGTCATTCTCTGCAGATTCCCCGAAATATATAACTGCCCAACTACCATCTTTATGACTTTTAAAAAAAGTGATGTGATACTTTCATAATGACCCAGAATGGCTTCTCAATGAATTATCATTTATTCCCCCCATTTCTTTTTTCATAATCTTTAATCTTTGCTTAGAGGAATCATCAACCCATTGAGATTGGGTACCTCAATTCGTCAAGAATCAGCCTCTCATAATTTATCTATACTTATTTAAAATAATTTATGACATTAGCATCTAGTTGTTTATCTGCGCTACCAGGGTCCATCTTGGTCGGCTTCGGGACATACATATCGCTTCGTGTAAGTTGCTTTGCTTTTTTCCCATCGATACCAAATATCGTTCATCATTTCCCAGGTTTTTTACTTTAGGGGTAACCACCCATGTTTCGCGTGTAGATGATTATAATATTGTCGGTTGTAATGGTGTCACAGTAACGTGAATCTCCAAGATTTACATGTAAACGTACTTCATTCCGATTACGTAGTTTAGGGGCGGTGGTGAATGTTCCTCAAGGGAAGTCTTACCTCGTGTTGTTGCTAGATAATCTGTTTGTCACATTTGGAGACCACTGGCTACAGACACACAAATAAAACTTGTTTAGATTTAGATTTATTTGTTGAGCACTGTTGACCAAACATTTTGCCCCAATCTCCCTATTTTGGGGTTTTCCCCAAAGCTTGGAGAAATCCCGTAAATGGACAGAATTCTCCCCAAAATTGAAAGATTGGGACGTTAGTTTGTTTTTATTAAGCTTCTACGAGTGTAAATTCTCTTCAATAAGTTGATTAAAAATATGGACACTCCTTCAGTTAGTGGTTCCTAAGAATTGGCAACCCAATGGGAGAACCTGTGATGCCGAGGGGATATCGTCTGTTCTCGTCTTCTCAATCTTGTTTCCCATGAGTTGTCCTGGCGTAGTTGTAGGAGGGGGGAGATATAGCAGGTCCGAGCTCATTTAGTATCCTGTACATCAAAATTAGTTCTCCTCAAGTTTCTAAGAGACTTCTCAGGTCTGTATGATAAGCCTCAGTTCCGAACTTTCCCAGAAAGCTGCCTACTACTTTGAACGAAAGTTTGTGGCCTGAATACAGTTTTTAGTTTGGACTTTATATGGCCTGTATATACCATATATAACATATTTGTATCCAACTTGGTAAATGGTCATGACACTCATGTAGTTCCAATCCCTCTAACCCTAGTTAGTAGTAAGCCGTAGTCTTTGGTCGTAACTCTCACCCATAATTGATTGAGACAAGACTAGGGGCACTGACGCTTCACACAACCAACATAAACATGTCTGACGTGTCTATAAACTTGATGATAATGATAGATTTTGATGGAGTTTTGTTCTCTGAGCTGGATGGTTTGGTCGTGGAGCTTTCATCGTTCTTCTGAACGACATCATCAGCACAAACTTCAGATAGAAGTCTACCAAACCATCCAGCTCAGAGAACAAAACTCCATCAAAATCATCCACCTGAGCTACAAATCTCCACCATCTGATAATGATAGATGTTGGCTACTTTTAGAACAGCTTATCAGGAAGTCTAGACCGGTCTGGAGTGCCTACATCGTCATCTTCCGTCACTTTCTAGATCTTTAGTTTGCCTGTGTAAAGTAGCATCGACGATTCACTCATATTGATTTGGAAAACTGAAAGATCTAAAATGATGCCTCGCGGTACTTCATGAAGTATTAATTCCCTCAAGGAGCATTTAGAGTCTTTTTCCTATCAAAAAGTCTTTGATCCACTTAAGTGCGAATCCAAAAACTAAGCCTCTCAGCTTCAATAGGAACATACTATGTGGCACCCTATCAAACGCTCATCTGAAGTTTTCCAGTCAGTCAGTAACAACGTAAAACTTTGTACGTACGTACATCAGTTCGAGTTGCCATACCACATTAGCACGGAGATGCAGTTGCCGATTCAAATCCTCTAGTTGTAGAGGTAGTAAAAGTATAAGCAGTAATCGGAAAGATTATGGCTTGAAGATGTTATTCAAGGAGTATAATCCAGTGAAATAAATTTGGAAGGAAAAAAGTTCATGAAGAATTCAGAAGATTATAATTTCGGAGAACACAGAGTAGATGCACCTGCTCACACCATTGCAAACGATTTTGAGCCATGTCATTCAAGGTCTCTAACCATCGGTTGCCGTCGTCTCACGGATCCCAACCAGGTAGTCTACACCTACTAACATGGCTCAGTCCACTTGTGAGTGACTTCATGGATTTGTTCCCTGTTTTGGTCTGTCCGCCCCTAGCTTTCTTCCAAAATACTCCTACACCATGAAACATCGCACGTCTTGGCAGTCGGTGGATGGACATACGCAATACATGTCCCAGTCGTCTCAACTGATGGATTTTCACTACTACTTCATCAATTGATTTGCCATCTTGACCTAGCACCCATTTCCTAACAACTGTGTTACTTAATCGATGGTCCCAGGATATACGAGCAATGCTTCGAAGACACCTATGATCAAATACTAGTAACCTACGAATATTCTCTACTCTTACGGGCCATGTTTCACTGCCATAAAGTAGGATGGAGTGAACTGCTGCGCAGTAAAGCGTCGTTTGGTTGGTAGACGGATATTTCGTCTACTCCAAAAATGACGCAATTCGGCAAAAGCTAGTCGAGCCTTCTGTATCCGTGCTGAAATTTCGTCACATCAGGCTACAAGAGCTGATGAGACTCAAGATAAGTGAAGCGGTCGACCCGCTCAACTACTTCATTCCCTGTCATTAGTTTAGATGTCAATGCAACCCAATCCTGAAGCAACATTTTTCATTTTGAAGTTTTAACAAACAACATTCATTAATTGCATGTGGGGCTAATCCTAAGTTAAAATTAGGAGCATGTGTAAAGATCGTCTCAAAATAATCAGCTATGGCTTTTGCTTTAACATTGTTTTCTATCATTCGCGATGCACTTCCTTTCGTAATTAGCTTAGGGTTCCATTGTTGGGTTTTGTAATAGACTTATGCGAATAATCGTTTCGACTTCTTGGTTTCAGTTGGCATCAGTTGGTTTCTGTACTTCTGAATGGCACGGATTGTACCGGTGCATTTATTCCTGGTCGATTTGTACTGAGACCAGTAAACCTCAAATCTGACTTTGGATGTAGGGCAGTGTATCTTATATAGTACTTTCCGTTAGTCTTTAATTTTCACTGAATCAGTAAAAGCAAGCACTGCTCAGGTCTCGATTTCATAGTCACCTTGGGTGATTATAGTCCATTTTGTTTATTTTCCTTCAGAAAACACAAGTTATCCGGTGGGCAAGATTCGACCAATAATTTAACCCCTTTTTGGTCCTATTTTTGGATTTCCCATTGACGTGGTACAGTTTACTTTCAATTGAGAGGTCAAATATTAAAGTCCAACCCTTTGAGCGAATATATATATATATATACTGGTACAAGAGGGCACCAAATACATATGCGCCACACTTTGTCATCCTATTTGTATGAGGGCTGGGATACTGCCCGTGTGCGCAAACCGAGACGTGGTTTCCCTAGAGGGTCACTCCTCGGGCCTTTGACCTAGAGGTTGAATCCACAAGTCAACGGTACAACTTTAGCAGATGCAGTCCCATGATAGCCGGTGGCCAACAATAGGTTCATACGCCTTTTGTTTCCCCAGGGTCCTGTAACCCATGTGTAACATCTGGGTTTTCCAACTACCCTAGGTGAACCCTCAGTGTTCACTAACTAACGGAAATTCCGAAAATCAAATCACAGACTTAATGGTAGTTTTGTACATCATTCACAACTCAACATCTTGTTTCGTATTAATTCCTTTAAAGTATTCGGTAATTACTCTAACCGGTTGCTCTATGTCCCTTAAGTCACACTTTATGAATCAGTGACCCTACTTGGGTGCTAAACTGAAGTAATTGTAAGTAGAGTTATAGCCACTGCGCTACCCCTCTAGATCTGGGCTGAGTAGAACATGTAATCGTTCTTGTTTCCACTTGGAAATGTTTTCGTAGATGTTCGTTCGTTCGTTCGTTTATGCGTTGTTCAAAGCATGAAATTTCGAAATTAATGACTGAGCCAAAAATAGGTCGAATGATAAAAATACGAATTTTTTGATCTCTATTTTGTCTTGAAAATCAAGTGAAGAGGTCGTTTTCCAATGAAAAGTTCACGGACCGTTTCACCTTTTTATCTATACCTATTCATATAGACATGGTAAAGGACAAGTCATTATTAAACAATAATCCAGTGTTGTCTAATTTTTTTATTCTGGAAATCTCCTGGTTCCAGTGATACATTTTGATTTTCTCTTGTTGCAGAACAAAGAATGTCTGTCATCATTCGACTCCAAAACCTACCAATTTCAGCAAACGCCTCAAATATTCGACGCTTTTTCAGCGGGTTATCCATTCCTGAAGGGGGCGTGCACATCGTCGGGGGCACGGAAGGTGACGCATTTATTGCCTTTGCTACAGATGAAGATGCAAGAAAAGCTATGCTGCTTGATCGACAAACAATCAACGGGGCATCTGTTCGCCTGTTTCTGAGCAGTAAAGCCGAAATGCAGTCAATAATCGAATCTGCAAAAACTTCAGCCTTATTTTCTAGTGGGGGAAATCCGGTTTTATCTCAATCTATCTCTCAAAAGACTGAAACTATGCATGCACTAGATGTGACAGCTCCTACACTGCCCAGTTCCTTCCCATCGTACCGTAATGGAGCCACTCGTGAATCATTTGATGATTCCTCCAAGCAGTATCCTTACACCTATGGCAAAGGTGTAACCTTGGATCCCCCTCGTGGACAAATTGAATCAGCTGAACGTAACAACCCGGACAAATATCCCGAAACTTTACCTCCAGATAGACCTCATTTTAGTCAGGATCGAGATTATAGTTACAATAACCAACCTAACATGCATTCAAGGTATGATGCGATACGAGACTTCCCACCAAGTAACGACTATGGTCCAAGAGATACATACTTGAATAACCGAGGTGACTTGGGACATAGATCTTATCGCGATGATTACGATTATAGTAGGCACCCGCCATCGATTACTTCTGAAGACAACTTCGTCCCGAGAGGCAAAGACAATGAAGGCAAAAGCAGTCCAAGGGACTCTTATGCTGACCCTTATTCTGCGCTACACGTCTCGGATGGTATGACGTCAGATTATGATAAGTACCGTGCACAATCTCCTAGAGTATTCAATGATCGGTTCCCTCCACATGATATTCAATCACGTGAGTTTGGTCATGGAAATACCCACCCGTTTCCATCAGAATTTAGAAGTGGCCCGGGTCATCCGCTTGATCGTGAAACTGCATGCACTGATTCTAGGTTGCAAGAGGAACGCGATTTTTCTGTTAGACCTCCGTGGCTCAACGATAATGCACCCGTTTCAGGACCAAAGCGTCCATTCCAGCATCAGACTTCAGACTTTGAAGAGTACCCACGAAAACGTCGACCACAACCCTCATCATATACTCGCCCATCTGACATAGTGCCTGGAGAAACTGATTACGTACTAAGAGTTTGTTTGCCCGCCCCAGAAGCTGGAATAAAGACTGTTTTCGAAGTTTTACGTGGCGTCCAAGTTGTTCCAAAATGGGGTATCCGGGTTGAAGAAGATTTGCTACAACGTCCCACTGGGTATGTGTTTATAATGATGACAACTCGTGATTCGTATGAACGGGCACTCAGTTTTAATAATCGTCCTCACAAAGGAGACGTGATAAAAGTAGTCAAATGCACTCTAAGTGAATTTTACAGTGTTAGTGATACAAACTTTACTTCAAAATGCCCTCCAGAGGTTGCCAAAAAACTTCCACCACCTGATCAGTTCTACCCTCCTCATTACAACGATGGTTGTCTTGAGCTAGCTGAGCTCCCATCTGATACCACCAAGACAGAAGTAGTTCGGTTTTTGGGTGCTCCTGGTCTAACTTGTGAAAATGTTGTACTGGCTCGGTTCCCTCCAAATGATAAGTCTGCACCACGCAGTACCAACTTAACTAGGGCACTAGTTACGCTTCCTTCTGCAGAGGATATCAAAATCCTTCTTTCTGCCAAACCACGGCCATTTCGACCAGATGTGGGACTTCCATCAGTGCGCTTAACACCAATATCAAAGTTGCAAGTCACTGCTTATTCAGCCTTAGCGATCGGTAGTAAATCTGAAAGTACTAAAGAATCTATCAAACCACCTGTTCCTCGTGATGTCGATTCGGAGCCTACTAAACCACCTGGTGGCTTTTTGACATGTGCTTGTGTCAGTGGGTTTTCTCGCACAGTAAAAGATTCTGAAGTTCTGAATCTGTTTCCGTCCATCCTAATTCCTGGAGATGCGGTACGGCTGGCTCCTGATGCTAATATTGCTTTCATTGATTTTATTAGTGAAAACAACTGTCGTCGTGCTGTAAATGAAGCATCGACTGAAGGTTCTAAGGCAAAACAGTCACATCCATCTCTTCATATAGAAGCCATTTCTCGAGAGGAAATGCTGAACCGTTTGGGTGCCGATCCAAAAGATGAACAACTCAACATTGACAGACCTGGAAGATCTCGTGACAGAGATCCTCGGGAATCCCGCATCCATTGGGATCAACGCCAGCGTCCGTCACCTTCGAATCCATTTGAGAGCCGTCCCCCAAGTGTAGGCAGAGCTAAGTACGATGACTCTTACTATGACCGCCCTGCTGTACCTGCCCCTTTTGATGACCATCACGACTCCTTCCGTAGGTTCCGCCCGCCTGTGGATAATTTACATTCTATCCCACCACACCAATCAGATATTTCATCTGTTCCGAGACAACCTGTTCCTCTTCCACATCGTCGCCCAGTTCCTGACTTTGTTACAGTTTTTGTCGGAAATCTTCCACCCGCATGTACAGTTGATCAACTAGCTGGAATAATGCGGGATTATTACTTCGTTCCGGGTTCGATAAGACTACGCCGTGATCCTCAAGGGCAGTTTGTTGGTGAAGCGTTAGTTGATTTCAAAACAAGTTACGAAGCTGATAGGGCGCTCAGAGGACTAAATGGATATCGAGTAGCCGGTCGACCCTTGGTATTGCATTTTGATCACCGGAAGTAACAGGTAAGATTTTTATTTATTTTATATTGTAGGACTACTCGTAAACTTTTTATGTAAAGTAACTCCTTGCATTTTTGAAAATCTTTGTGTAACTTAGTTATTTTCTGAGATTTGAAACTAGAATTTGACTCAATATATCAATCCCTTGAATAAGTCCTAGTCTTTTTTCTCATATATGGGTCAAATCGTACCCAATGACTAAGTTAGTTTGTACCAAAACATTTACGTACATCCTCTCGATTCATTAGTATTTCTATATTTTGGGTGTGTTTATTGTAAGATCATTGTTAACATTTCCTTCAACATACTCTAAGCCAATGTTTCCAGATGATATCAAACTACACCAATTAGTTCACAAATTGAGAACATAACTTATGGTGTAAATTAACTATAAAATCTCGCTTTGTAAGTATATTTGAAAGTTAGTCCACCGGTTAACTGCCGGTATGTTCTGTGAATACGTTTCTAAGGGAGATATCTAGTGTAGGATTTCCGTGTTCTCATTAATGATCACTTGTAGGATTTTGAAACAAATGTTTATTACCATCCAATCGATTATCAATGTTAAGGACGTCTTAACTCTTCATATTTGGTGTGTTCGCATTTTACGATGGTGAAGTGTATATCGTTGACTTTATTCGTTCATAGTTCCTGTAAATTTTGATAAGTTTGTTCTTGTTTAACTTTCATAACACGATGATAAAGTATTTGTTACGTCAGTCTGGATTTCTGGTAAACATTTCATATGATATTTGATTTAGGGGGTCCAACGGATCGCGAACTTCCCATAAGTTCCATTAAATTTTAATATTTGTATATAACGTGAGAATTATTTAGTACAATAGGAAGGTAGGGGATATGCTATAAAAATCATCTAAAAAGAAATAGAAACCATCTAATTAAGTAGTTCAAGTAATGTCATAACCAAGATAGATGTCTTCAACTAAAGGTGTGCGTCATATCAAATTTTAAAATTTGCTATCGAGAATTAATAGTACCGTCACCTACTGTATTCTAAACCATTTCACTGAATCGAGTTATCTTTGAGGTACTATCTGGAGTGTTACAGTAACGCACTAACTCAAGCTATCCTTCACTACACCATACCATAGACTTTCTTCCCTCACACTGTCCCAGTGTCATCGAATCAAAGGTACGGTAATAATCACTGGTATACATTCTGCGTGCCATAGTTATTATTCTAAGGAGGTAGGGCTAATTGAATTATGGTCGTTATTATTTCTAACTCCAAGTATTCAGTGCCAACAGTCCTTCGTAAATAGCGATCATAGGTGGTTACTAAAAATCCTTTACCCGAAGTCAAGTTTTATTAGCATGGATCACATCACTGTACCACTCAGCTCTTATGCCTGAAATAGTTTTGTAAAATGTTACTGAACTGAGATAAGAATCTGACTTTCTCTATCCGTAGATTAATTTAACCAGTCATGTTATCATTATCACTCACATGACCCGTTGATACCATTTTTAAAAGTGTATGCAAGAAAAAAATCTTGACAACCATGTAAATCAATCTGCTGATATATACCTAACCAAACGCCCATTATATGCATTTTGTAATCTTTTTTAAGAAATGAATAAGACAGTTATTTCAGAATGGTAGATATTTTGCAGCCAAGAGGCGTAATATAGCGGTCGAAGTCACTGTAACGAAGGTGAATTTGAGCTGCCAAAGTACTCTTTAGTGTTCTGAATGCATACAAAAGTTGTGAATTAACGAACTATTATCTCACGTTTTATTTCACCCATGCTAGGATTTTAGCAGCCGGTAGGTGGGAATAGCTCTCGGCGTCAATCAAATGCGTTATATTGTGTGCAATTTGACAATGAGATCCAATCACCAGGTTTCTTGACCGTTAAGTTTTGTAAAAGTTTTCGCTACAGAGAATTACGCTTCACCGATGAGCGTCAAAAAAAAAACATTACGAGTCCTTAAAAACCAAGAGTTGATAAGTACAGCATCTCACAGAGTTGCATACAATTTTAGCTTACCGTCTTCAACCGACTGTTAGTAAGCCTCAAATCAACTCCTCTACCCTCAGTACGATGCTACAATCAGAAAGATTGGGCAACGAGCCTTAATTTACTTTAAGGAAACGCTTAAAATGACTTGAGAAAATGGGAAATTTTGGATAATCATTGTAATCTCGAATACAACTCTCGGATACATCATAAGACCGAAATTCCCATTATGCTTGTTACCTGTGTCTGCTTCTTGTTTCTGTCGAATACTACACGTTAACTCATATATGTGGTTTCAATGCAGTCACAAGTGTGGAACTTCTAATCGAAATGAGAATCCCGACAACGATAGGGTAATTAGTCAAGTTTTAAATTTGAATGGAAGGATTAGGAGTTACATGCGAGCAATGCATTAGTGTAGGGCGGTATAAGATGCAGTTGTTTGCATTAACGTAATTTTGGCCTTTAATAACTACCCTATAAGACTAGTAATGTACGTTGTTATTTAAAGTTGTCACGGTTCCTGTAAAAGCATTTTAATCAGAGCGAATTTCTTTCCTTACGAACTTTTGATTTGAATTTCATATTGACAAGACAGTCAAGCGACGTGAGAAATTCGTTGGTTGGGTAGTAGGTGATAGATGTGCGTTCACACACCATTCATTCACTGACGATCATGGCGATAATATATTCGAGGTTTACCGATTATATATCCATTGAACTGACTTCACCACCGGACATTCATGTACTATCCTTCCCTTTAGTAGAAGAACTCACCGCAATAATGTGGTGAGGCGATAAACGCTCGACCATGTAAGCGTATTTTATGGGAAATGGCTGCGCCCATCAAGTAAAAAAGAATATTACAGCTCAACTCAGGTCGTGTTGTTATTGTTCTGGACTCATGCGTAGATCATATTTAGTCATGTTTTAAGAAAAAATGAAGATGGTAAAGGAAGGAAAATAGGCCTCGGAACGTAGTGATAGCCTCGGTGACGAAATGAATTATAGATGTTAGTCGTTTATTACAATAGTTTCATTGTCGGTTAGTCATCTGTTATTACTTATTCCAATCGTTAGTTGGCATGTGTTTTTTTTTTCTGGACTGACGAACCTAGTATTAGCTAATTTAATTAAAGTTTTCAGCATTTCATTGTTTACAAATAAGGCTCTGTTGTTGAGAGTATTTTTTTTCCAAAGATATTGATTTGTTATGCGTTTGAGCTTGACGGAACTGTAGAAAAGTTTTTTGTTTTTGTGTTTAACAAGTGAATGAAGCTTAAGTTTTGTCAAATTAAGTAACGCTCATGTTAATTTCCAAGTGATAGATTGAGTTAGGTAAATGTAACAATGAAAACTTCTTCTTCTAATGATCTACTAAATTCTCTGTTGTATATCGTTTTGTGGAATAACCTGTTTGTCTTGAGTTGTGAAGAAAAAGTGGTATATAATAAGTTGAGTGAAATAACGCCGGGAAATAAAGTTACTCGACTGAATATCATATTAGGAATATTTCAGGAAGATAGTTGGACACTTGATGATTATGATTCAATGCCGCTTTATATTTAGGTATTTTATTCTTTGTAAATGGTTTTACCTTACATGAAACGTATATAGGTTAGTTAAATCGCAACATTATGGGAAAAGTAGTTGTGGTTGATAGGGGTTTACCGAAACTAGTTGTTTTATAAGTATGATATAGCTTGTAACAATAGCTTGTTGAAATAACTGTTATTTAATGTATTCTGTACATTTCTACTGTTTGAAAATGAATAGAGACTAGACGCGAAGAAATGTTGCGCAAAATAATTGAATATTCTCAAATTTTGTACTTGATTTAAGTCTAATTGTAATAATTTGCACTTGTTTATAATCGGTTACTTATGTATTGTTAAAAAAAAACAAGAATTTAAGGCTTCTAGTATATTGATTATTGTTTGGTTAATCAACTGCCACGTGCAAGATTTCGTTCTGAGGTGCAAAGAAAGCGGAGTGACACTAATTTTGACTAATGGATGTTAAGTTGTTGCATAAGTGATGGTTTATAACTGGTGGTTGGTCATGGACCGTTATTATTATTGATATTAAAATATTAAGTAACTTAGTTATTGAGAATTATGAAGCATGTAGAAATATGTGTTTTGTATGTTATCACTTTAGTGAGTTCATTTAATGCGAATTCGCTAAAGCAGTTTAGGTTTGTGCAAGGGCTTTCTATGCCACCAATCATGGATTAAATGACAATACTCATATTACTAAAAGTGTTAATCATCTGATCAGGCTGATTGAAATGGCTCAGATCTCAGATGAGTGGTCGGTGACTGAGAAAGTGTTGGGCGGTAGAAATTGCTGTCGCAACAGTTATTGCACAAAAGAGTTGAACTCTAGAATAATACATATATAACAAATAGCAAATGAATGAGGGAAATTAAAGAGAGTCACAGACTTGATACCAATAATTCAACTGAAAATCCATTGATGTTCAGCAAATAGTGTAGTGGAGATTATGCGTTAAAATCAGGATAAACCCTATTGATCTAAGCGGGATATTATTTAGAGTACAGTGAAAGCAAAGAATTAACCACAACACATAGGGTAAACAGTGTTAAAATGAGTAATCTCGTTGTGTGTGTGTGTGTGTGAACCATGACTGCAAAGTTGGAGTTGACTCAACTCAAGTGATTTGACAAAACCACCTGAGAATTTTGTAGCGGTTCATGTCATTTGCATAATTTATGAATTTGTCGTGAAATTATGCACCATGAAAACGAGATATTTACATATGTAGACAAACATTCTCCAGTTAATAAACAGATTCGTAAGATGATATTTAATAATAGATTGATTTGTGAGTTGACGAACTATTGACTAACTTATCAATGTATGTGGGAATAGCCGAAAAGTTTTAATTTGAGTGGTGATTATCTATGTGGAATTGACAATTAGAATCGTAGTGATTATTTTCAGCGTCTGATCATATCCACTATGTTCTGGAGGTCTTCATATATGTAGTTGAGTGGTGGTTGTACAAGTTAGGGATTTGTGAACGATGATGTTTAATATGGAGCTGTGGATTTTCAATGACGACGCTAAATGTTATGTACACATAAGTTGAACTGATCGGTAATCTATTTGTCTCAGTGAGAATTGATTGAATTCATCACTTACGACTTGAACATAAAGTGTCATATGTGGTTAATAGATGATGATGATGTTGGTGATGAGTGAATGGAGTTAATATTTTGAAGTGGTATTGAGTTATTTATTGGGGAAGTGTTGAGTTTCACACTGCATATACATTTAATACGAAACAGTTAAAAGTAGGATATGAATAAAGAAAGTGTAGTAGGCGAGTTAATGTCAATGAAGTAGGCACGTTATTTTTATTAAGATAGTAGTGCCTGTTCATGAATGGATATCCCCAATATTGTTGGTTATAAGAGTGCATTGTTTAGTTCACAACTTCTGACTGGTCTGACCTAATTGTGCTATTTCGGTTAAATGACAAATGATCTTACTCTGTCTGATTATGTAACTGTTTGAGAATAGTTTTCGTGATGTACCTGCTAACTTTGGAGAGTAGATTGTCGTTCTGATTGATTAGCATTACGCGCATTGCTGATAGATAATGCAAAATAAGCACCTAGGATAAGTCCGAGTATTCAGTTCATCAATAAGAACTGTCCTGATAATCATAAGCGGATATATAAGATTGTAAATAGCTCCGTATTAACCGTGATGCTGCATCAATCAGAATACGGTCGTGACAGGTAACTGTGATGCTAGAGTTACAATGATATTTTTCCATGCAGATATAACAATCATGTTTAATTATGAATGATCCTCTAGTAGGGATTTGACAAACGGTATCGATTGCTACGCAACCCGTTTGGCACTATCTAAACACAAGAGTGTGTAGTTGCAAATGGAGATATTATATATGGAAGTGTATGTATGAAGTGCTAAACTCCAATGGTTATTATTATTGTTGTTGTTAATATTGCTATTCTCATTTCTTTCTCTTGTTCAAAATGTAATTCGATTGAGTTTGATAGAAGTTACTTGAAAGTGTTTAATCGATGTGACAGCACAAAAGTTTGTCGATGACTGAACGTTGAGTGGATGATTAGAATTTCTATTATTAGAAGAGATGGACAATAGTTTTGCGATAGTGCGATGAGGCGATGCTTCATATGAGGTTGAGATTATTAGGTGATGACTTCATTTTAACAGTATATTTGGTTGATGAGCTGGTTGGGATAGTAAAGGATTGTTGTGGAACATTGTGGATTGATATTAATTTAGCATTTCATCATGTGAAAGATGGTAGAGATGAGAACGAGAGAGTTGGGGTTTGTGAGTAACGCATTAAGTTGAGATTGCTTATCATTTTGTGGAAAACATGGAGAGGAAAGTGAAATGAATAGGTTATTTAGGAGCCCTATTGTTTTTGGTATGTAGTGCTGCTGAAGTTTGAGTGTTTCAGGTTTGATAGAGTATAATTAGATTATTTTAGACCAATAATTGGATATAGGTGGCCAGAGTGTGTATTCCTGGGAGATTGACCCCAGTAGTTTTTATTCCAATGTAACATGTCACTTAAGATTACAATGCAAAGACCAATTTCTCTTCTGTCTGTTACTACTCTAGTTTCGTGGACATCGACCGAGGGACCTTATGGCTTGTGGTGTTCTTTCAGCATGGATTCCTCACTATATTTCGTTTCAATTGGAACTGAATCAATTCGTGTATTTTTGTGAAGCAGTAGTCACAGTGTGTAGTTAACAGACTCTAAATCAGCGTATTACCAATTCTTCAGTCCAATGTGTCTTTTGTGTACAAACCTACTCGATCGGAAAAGAGCTTTTTTACTATAGTTGCTCTATGACTTTTCTACTCGTTTGACCTGTTGTTACCGTTGCCGTTATGTGATCGGGTTTTCCTATTTGGCTCTAAAATAAATTCGGTTTGTCTGTAGTTTTATTTGTGTTGAACGAGTGGATTGTAGGGGTGTTTATATTTGGATTTAGGGTTGAAATGGTAATGAAGCAGCATATTTAGTGAGAATAGAATACTTTTGCGTAGACTGAATTGATGGAGGTTGTATAGATTTCAGTGAATGTTTCGTATGTTTCTTGACTTGACATTGATGGTTTTTCTAAAAGTAACAGTTGATGGTTCTTTTCTCTTATTATTTGTACATAGCGTAACTACAATAATACAATATCCTATTAGGCTCAGTAAGATGGTTGAGCTTTTTTTATCGACTTTGGAACTTCTAGTCGAAATGAGAATCCCGACAACGATAGGGTAATTAGTCAAGTTTTAAATTTGAATGGAAGGATTAGG